TTTTATTTGAGTTTCCCTTTCTGCCCAATAACACGTCCAAAGCGAAACACAATTCTCAGAAGAACAGAATAATAAAAAAAAGGAAAACGATTGCGCTCAACTGTTGTAAACTTTGGTGCCAATCTATAATTAAAATTTTAACCGTATGCTTTAAATGTGCATCAAGTCACCGCAAACCGAATGTCTACCGTTGTTGGAATTGGACCATCTCGCCGAAAAACAATACATTACCTTCGTTAAATATTTTAATAAATTTTGAGTAGAAGTAGTCACCGAGAGCAACACGCATACGCTACCGTATAGTAATTAAAGGCAGTTAACGCGATACTTGAGTGTTATTTAATGCTGTTATAATTTTCTCATCCCCATTTTGGGAAGAGGGGGCGAAGTACATGACGTTCGCGACACGGTCATAAATTACGCGCCACACAAGCACAAAACACCCCACACGTGTCGCAGGTAATAGACGACAGTGAACAAACTAGGAATTGGTGTGCGTGTCCATTCGGGTGCTCAGATCGTAGCACTGTGGGCTCTTATAATAATATGTATGAACGTTATGCCATTTTTATCATTTCAGTGTATATTTAACCCATTTACATAGAGGGCGGCAATAGACTGGGGCGTATGTACCTGCTACCCCTGTAATATACACCCCGTCGTGTTTATATAAGTATGCGTACTACAATAATAAATTACATAGATAAATAATCTATTGTGATATTTCTGTCGTCAAAACTAACATACACTTTTCTAGATTACATTTTAGTAGCTGTGAACGATTTTTTGGGGCAATTATTATGATCACCCGACGAAAGCACAACAACAATAGTATTTATACACTACAATTTTATCAATTGATTTTAGATTAAATTTATTTTTAAATAGAATGAAAAAAAAAAATGAATTTTCCTATTATTTTTCGACTGTAAATATTCTTAGCACATTTTGTGACTAAATTTGATGGATTTTGCACAATTGTCATCTGTGATAAGCTAGTTGATATAAAAATTTATCATTAATTATGCTATTTGAAATTTAATTTAAATGTAAATTTTCAGGTCAGTGAATACAATCAGTATAATCAAAGCTTAATAACACGAAAATCTAGTTATTTTTCTACAGTGAAAACGGTATTTTTAATTTTAATTTTTCACTACCACTAAAACATTTATGAAAAATAATATTTATCGAACAAACTTTAATATATAAACGTAAAGTTGTTCAAATACTCGTATAATCCATATTCTTGACAATTATACCAATTCACTAGCCAAATTTTTAAATATATAAATTTCTATTAGTATTTTGATTTAAAGGAAACAATAACTGTGTGAAAAAAAATGTGAACCATAAATTTTAGTAATATGTCAAAACCGCACGAACATACAAATCATTTAACTAACTAAAATTTTAAAATCAAGAAACTATGGTAATTGTTAGGAAAAAAGTTGATTTTTTCAGTGACAGTAAGAAAATTTATTATTATTTTAGAATTAGAACTTTTATTTTTATAATATAAACTTTACACGCAATTTTATTTTAATTTACCATCAGCTTAACTATATGTTTATTTAACTTGAAACTACTTCTTAATGTAATTATAATGTCAGTTAAGAGCTTATTCATTTTGAAAGTTTTTTTAACTTAATTAGATGTCATTTAACTGACCAAAACTTTTAAATTACAGAAAACAAAGCATTACAATAAATTACATCGGTATCCTTACGTTTTATGGAGTAAATTACATAAACCATACTATTGTTCGATGGGAGGAGCTTAACTAATAAGTATACTCATAAATATAGACAATAGATTACACTTAAGTATAACTATGAGACGTTAAATAGAAACCATGAAGGACGTTGTAACAGTAAATTAAAAATAAGCACCAAATTATTTAAATCATTTAATTTTAAAAAGCTTTAATTATTAAAAAGTAATTTCTTTCAGCACTTTATTCTTAATTAAAAGAGCTGTTATATAAATTTTAAGAAATACATAATTTTAAACAACGATGCTAAAAATTTACACTTCATTTGCATTTTGTAATAACACAGTTTGTGATTGTAATATACATATTACTTTTAAGATATTTTGAGGATTTAGTATTAAATTGTTTTTTAAGATTAGCAGAGATTAACAAAATATCATGGATGAAAATTTAAATTATTTTCTAAGAACATATTATTTAATCGTATCATAAATAACTTCGAATAAAAAATATGAACTTGGTGTTTTTTTTTATAATTCATTTAATGAACAAAAAACTTTTGTGAAGTACTTTGATATAGACAGTATCGCATTTATAAATATTACTAATTCCTTAGAGAAATATTTTTATTAAAAACTCTGAACCCTCTGTGAAGGAGTCTTGTAAAAGCTCACATTAAAAATATTTATATCAATCCATTATTGCTAGTTAGTTTAAATACATTATTTATTAGCAATTATATTCCATTATTTAGCTTTAAATACTCTTTAGAAAAAAAATTGCTCTCGAAATCACTGATTAAAGAGATTATACAATCTACATAGTTAAATTCTAAATCTATTAAATCTAATTAAATTAAATATTAATCTAAAAATTTTTTTATTTTTCCTATAATCTGGAACATATATATTATATACATACTTTTGAAATTCCAAAATGGAGGGGCTTGTGAGACTAACGTATACATTATTCTCTCAGTAATGAAACAAACGAAGGATCACGTCGTATCATCGTACACAATTTATTATTACAAATTTCTCAGAATTGTTCGAATACTACACTTGTCATTTGTTATTGTTTTACCTTGATAATATGTATTAAAATTAAATAATTAATTTGTCGAGAAAATTTAAGAAATACCGAATTTTCGAGCGTAATAAATCACATTTTAAATTTATTATATTTGAATAATCTGAATAATATTTTTATTTAAATAAGAAATATTTGCAAAATTACTTTAATGTAATACACAAATATAAATAGATAATAATTTTGCCAATTTTATGCGTTAATAACACTATTTTCTGCCACGGTTCATCTGAATATATATTGTAAATTAACAAGATGTGTACTCAAATCCTTCGTTTTAAAGTAAACGAGTAAGAAGTGCAAACCGCAAATTATATTGTTTAAGTGATATTCTTGTTAAAATTCTTTGCATTTTTACGGTTGATCTATTTGGTATGTTTAACACTTTTAAACCCACAAGGAATATAGGAGTAAACAATTGGAATAGTTATAAATAACAAAATAAAAAACTGCCTATACACCCTTGTTTACATGTAAAACGATGTGATTCTATCTTTATAAAACATTTATTTAATTATTATGACATTAATTAAATAACAATTTAATTTTACTCGTTAAAGCTTCGCCGGTTTTATGCAATAAAATAAGATTAATGGCTGCATTATTGCACACCCACGTTGTAATTATTTTATCACGCTACTTCAAATCTGTAAATATGTCTTTAAAATTATGACATTTATCTTGTGAGTAAAAAATATGGTATTCTCGACAGCTCATAACTGTTACTTAAATTTATTTAATGTTTTATTGTCCACCGGACATTTTAAATATTATATGCAATGACTAGTACATGAATTATTGTTATTATCATCAAACATAAATTGGCATTATACAGCGTTCCAAAAGTAGTCTGTACATTTATTTTTTCCATTTTTTCTTATCAACGAGTGTATCGTAATTGGGCTATATTCTAATTGCATTGTTTACTTTAAAGATATCTAAAAAAATTCAACATTTTAACGATAAAGTCAAGACAATTTTAAATCTCGCGGGACAACGAGCGCTTCTAAATGTTATTGTGTATTGGCATCAGGGTAAATATTATTTTCTCTTAGTGAGGTAAGCACCCTAACGATTTCGAACCCTTTTATAAGTGAGTAAACCGTATTACTCCCTAGGGAATGTGCAAATATTATATTCTTACTTCCACCCAGCACTATGTATCAACATATTGCAACAAAATGCGTAATTTATTTAAAGCTCACCCATCTTCAGAAAATAAAAATAACAATAACAAATTACTTTCTTAAGAAGCTATAAATTGAGTCTGCTATTTGTTTCAACTTTTAATATTTAATCAATTTAAGTAACAGAAATGAATACGATCGTTTTAATAGAAATCCTTTAGTATAATTAAGTTTTGATATTTATTATGTGCGTGATAATATTTTAATATCCGTACGCAAACTTGCTGAATAGCTACGCTTCCCGCTTAAATAATAGAAATACCAGCAACTGTAAAAAAATAAAATAAGAACTAAAAACTTTGTCGGTTTTAGATAAATTATAAAAAGTTCATTCGGTTGTTCGGAAATACTGTTAGTACAATTCCAACAAACTTAACGCGCTTTACCATATTTGAAAGCTATCTAAAATTTGACTACTCCGTAGATATATACCACTCGTATTAGTTTCCTTTTAAATGTGACGGTATTACTATTAATAAGAAAAGTACGATAAACGACTATTTTCACAAGTAAACGAGTTTGAAAGACGTGAATACGCTCAAGTTAAATGCCAGAAAGATGTTTACATAGACATGTCTGTTAATGTAATGCATCTTTAGTCAATTTTTTTTATTGAGAAAGTAATATTTATAGAAAATAAAAAAAAATGTCTACATTGACTTTAGAATAAACCATAATAGTAATGCACACTTTACTAGGAATAGTATGCCGTGTTGATACTTTATTCCAAAAACTAATTTAATTTTTT